ACACAAAATCTTTCAATTTATAATGCTATCAATATATTTATTTAAGAAATATAATGTGTTATTGAATTTAATTATGTAATATTTTAAGTTTTTTAACATATATCCCGATGAATAGACTTGAGATTTATAATTATTTTTTAATCAGAGCTTAAGCAGATAGAACTAAGCTTGGGCAAACACAAACTCCCTTATTATATAATGTTAGCATAGCCCGAACTCAATTCAGTCCCAATGTTTATCCACCCCTATTTAAAACTCATGCATTAATAATTATATTAGTGCCAGTGGTAATGGTAGTGGAGGTCGGCTGTTTGGGAGTGGTGTATTGGTGCTGAAAGTTAAAATAATTTTGCCTAATTTTTTTTTTTTTTTTGGTTTTTTTTAAAAAAAAAAAAACAAACAAAACAAAACAAAATCACGCCAATAATAGCTTTGTGTTATTTTGACACGTTGAATCTATTTCTAAAAAAATAATAATAATAATTAATGATCATTATTGTCACTACTAAAGTGACAAATTTAACACTAAATTTGACTTTAACAAATTTTAGTTTGAAAATTTGGCAGATAATTAGAGTTTTTATTTTTATTTTACATCTTATGAGGGTATAATTAAAAGGAGATTTTTTTTAAGGTCTATGCTATTAAGATTTTATAACATAAAGAGCACTCAATATTTTCATAATGTCTAAGGTCTCTCAACATCGATCCAGGAAAAAATTCGACCCAAAGAATTTCTCTGGCCTTCCAGAGATCTTCTCTTCAGAGAAATTCTGGGAATTTCTTTGCACTTCCCAAATAATTTCTCTGGACCTCCCAGAGATTTTCTGTCCAGAGAAATTCTCTGTGTGCTTTTGACCAATTTTCTCTGGTTTGCTCACAATTTTCTGTGTGTTTTTTTATCAAACCAAAGAAAATTGAACAACCACCATTTTCATTTTGACCAATTTTTTCTGAATTGTAAGACATTCAGACAACAGCCAAAAGAAAATTGAACAAACATCATTTTTATTTTGATTAATTTTCTGTGACTGTAAGACATTCAGACAACATCAAAACAAAGAAAATTGAATGACCACCATTTTCATTTTGACCAATTTTCTCTGGACTGTAGGGTGCACCAATGTTGATCGAAGCGATCTTGCTTCTAGTATACACATCAAATATTGCACAAACAAATAGAGCAAATGAGAGTTACCTCGTCAATCTGGGGGAAATAGATGACGAGATCCATCCAAAAATCAAATCATTATTATTCTAATTTACAATATTAAATCGAATTAAGAATGAATTCTAGAAATCATATCACAACACAACACTTAACCAAACTAGTAAATTTCACCAATAATGGTATGAAATTCATGGCTTGCTTCCTAATGATGATCACATCATAAATGTTACTCACAAAAAGCTTGAACGCCTCATAAAATCTAAAAAGCTTGAATTTTCTCTGGTTTACTCACAAAATTCTCTGTGATTTGCTCAAAAAAAATTGTGTGCTTTGACCAATTTTCTCTTATTTACTCATAATTTTCTCTGTGTTTTAACCAAACTAGAGAAAATTGTGATTTTTCACAGAAAAATTTCTAGCAACCTTCAACAAACACGCAAAAAAAAAAAAATAAAAATAAAAAAATTGAGGATTGAAAATTTTCTTAGTCAAATTTATGATTGAATCTAAGTTTGTCCTCACTCTTCCACTCAAAACCTCTTCATTTCCACAACTACCTCTTTGGTAGCAGATGAACAACAATCTGACCTAGATGTTCAGATTTCAACATATGTGGTTGAATTGAATTGATGGAGAACTTTATGAAACCTTAGGTTATGGATTATCTTCAAAACAAATCTACAATTGGAAAACTCTAAAAACGAAGGAATGTGAGGGAAATGAAGTGGAAAAAGAAGGGAGTGTGAGAATTTGGAATCAGAAACAGTTATTATATACATATTCTACAAAGAAGTGAGTGAAACCTTTGAATTTTGGAGACAGATTTCCTAAGTTTCTTCTTGTTTTCTTCTCCGTTGATGATTTTTGAGAGAGATAGACTCCTTAATTCATCACCAGTGAGCTTCAATATACAGCCCCATAAATTTCTTTCTACACCCAACTGTGGTCATCGTCGGTCATCCACCACCGTTGTCAGTGGTGGACGGTGGTTGTCGGTGTAAAAGAGGCAGCAAAGTGAGGTCGAAAGAGACAAGCCAGCGTGTTTCGATTTTTAAAGTAGGTTCCGAGAGAGAAGATAAAGAAGAGAGACAGGAAGGAAAGAGAGAGGAAGGAGTTCGGCGACATGAGAGTGAGAGAAGCATGACGACGACAGGTGGTCGCTAGCGGCGATGGCAAATCGGGTAGCGACGGCGGATGAAGAGAGACAGAGAGATGAGGTTTGCCACATCACTGGAGGTCGGACCCCCACTGGGAGTCTGTAGCATTGCTCTATTCATGATTTTCACTTTTAGGGAGCGAAAGTATGTATAACTCCCAATCACAACAATATATATATATATATATATAATTTTTATTTATTTATTTATTTTTATTTATTTAGATTGCATTGTATTATTTGAGTTCATAGGGCTCACCTCATGTTCAATTTCGATAATCTAAACCGTTGAATGTGTAAGACTCGTCGAATATAGTATCCCTGCAAAAAATCACATTAATGAGATATCAATAGTCACTTGATCAAAATACATTTTTGTTAAATATTTATTTTTAAAATTATATTTATCATTGACAAAAACATAATCAGATTAAGTGGCTATTGATACTCAATTAACATTATTTTTTTGAAGCGATGAATTACTCAACGAAATGAATGAATTACCTAACGAGCCCTACATATTAAACAGTTTAGATTATCGCCATTAGACTCGTAGTGAACTCCATAAACCTAACAATATTCTCCAATCTGATTGCAGAGTAGACCAGCTTGATCCATTTTTTAAATACCATATCAATTTCAATCATCACACAAATTTAATAATATTATCACTAATTAAACATTCTTTATCTACATATTTGTGTGTAAGAAAATGCAGATAGAATTGAAAATATTCTATTGGCCATAATTTATAGAAGGAAAAAAAATATTGTATATTTATATATAGAGTAAGTTGATGATAAATCTAATCTAAGAAAGATATAAGACATCAAGTCTAGTAAATATTTTTTATTTGTGAGAGGGCTACTCTTTATAAAATTGTTTAGTGAGATTAAATAATAGATTTGACTTCTTTCATATTTAAATCTTAATAATAAATAATAATAAATATTCACTTGAGAGAACTTGAGAGGTATGAGGCTTACCATGAGTCTTATTTCAATGATTTATACTATTTATTTTATAAAGCTCTCTGTGTATATTATTCACGAAAAAGTGAAGTTAATTTGATAATTGTAGTATTTTTCTTTTATCACATGTGTTTTCAAAAAAATGAATGATCATTTTAAAAATAGATCATCCCATTTTTGAAGAAAAATACAACAAAATAAAAATATTATATTCATTAGATCGGTTTAATTTTTTATGGATAATACACATAGAATATCTTACAGAATGAATAATTTGAATCATCAAAACATGATCCGTGATAAACTTCACATACTCCAATACCCAACCCTTAAGTAAATACCATAAAAATTATGACATTAGTGAAATTAATTTTTCTAGACAAAATAATAATTATGGTATTATTAGTGTACGATAACGTGCCTTAGTCCTAGTCATCACATGAGACAATTGTGCATATACCAGGATAGTCTGGACAATTGTGCATATAGTAATGGAAAGATCTGGTAAGCAGGCTTACCACTTACAATTTTCGGGGTGAATGACGGTATGGCAAAAATTTATTTGTGTAATGCGAAATCTATGTGAGGTGTTGGATGTATAAGTGTGAATTTATAGTATTACTCATGATAAAATGAAAAAAAAAATGAAGGGCAAAATGAGAGTGAAATAACAAATCATTTATAGCAAAACAATTCTTATATATATATACTAGTTTACACAAGTCCGTGCATGGCACATGCTATTATTGTAGTATATTTAAGTCTTATATTTTGATAATTTTTTAAAAATTAAAATATTATTTTATGAATTTGAATAGAATAAATCATTAGATATATGATAGAATTATGTAGTATGATATGTATATTTTTTAATTTGCTATACATCCAATGATGTCGACTCCAATTCTATTACCATGTCATTTAGGGTGAATTTATGAGTCTTTAACATTTCTTCTAAATTTATACAAAAAAAAAATTTTATGGCGTGTAACTTTTCTCAATAGATAAATATAAAATAAATATTAAGATAATTCTCTTATCTAAAAAAATTATTAAGATAAGTCATTGAACTAATAAAGAAGCGAAGAAAATACATATATATACAAATGACTAATTTAATTAATACATAAATCATACTCATATAACAAATGATCAATTTTATTAATAAGTAAATCATTAAGTAAATTAACAATTTTTAATGATAAGAAAAATATTTTTCAATTAGCCCTTTTATTAATAAATAAATCATTAAGTCAATTAACAATTTTTAATAATATGAGAAATATTTTTCAATAAACAATTTTAATAATTTATTATTACATAGGAGAATAATTTTTTTTTTCCCTTGAGTATTGTGTTAAATTAATTAAAATTTATAATAAACAACAGTTGTAATTTCTAGTATTATAAGATTCATTCATATTTTAAAGAAACTTTATGAATGTATTTGTAATTTGTCAAAAAATAAATATTTATGTTTCATAACTGACCAAGAATGTTTGCATAATTATGAAAAAACCTATTTCATAATTGACCAAAAACGTTTGCATAATTACGAAAAAATCTATTGGATAATTGACCAAGAATGCTTGCATAATTACGAAAAAACTTCACTCAACATATAGGCCAACATTAGTAAATTATTCAAAATAAAAGAATAAAATCATAAAGAAAAGATGAACCTCAAGCAGCTAAACACCTCTTTTATATGTATATATATATCATTTATCCACAAAATTAGTGTTAGGGAACAGCGTTCATGAGATATTATCTGCCTCTTTCTACTTGTTCCAAATGCCTCAGCTAGAGAGAAGTGAAAAAACAACAAACACACCGGGTATACATTTTAAGCATTCATTGGCATATCATTATCAGAAGGATACAACTGTTAACATACAACAGCCCTCTCACATACAAAATACAAACCCTAGGCATCCTTTCTGACAAAATTGAAGGAAAAAAAAAATCAAGGGGTAAATTTCAAGAAAAAAAGAAAAGAAAAAAAGAATTGAATGATCAAACTAGACTACTTTCCTCAATAACCAATCAGTTGAACAATGCTATCTCAAAACCTTGGCTACAACCAATGTTGAGTTTGAATCTCCCACTACTGCTTCCTCCAGCGGAGGCTTCACATACTTTCCTATCGTTTTCTGGCGATGCCGTTTCCTCATCCTCAACATTTTATCCTTACTTTGTTGTTTCCTCTTCTCCTTCTCTCGAATTTTTTGGTTTCTTTCCTTCTCATACACTCCTTGCCAAAAGACCTCGCCCGTTGACGGCCACAACCACCGTCTCCTCGAGTGATCAGAATCAGACTCCTCAGCTAGGTCCTCGTCCATGTTCTTAAGGGTGGCGTATGAGAACCATTTGACCCACATTTGACCCCTCCGGTTCTTCAACTTGTGCTGTTCTTGCATTGCTCCGGTCTCTGGATTCACATACACCATCCTTCGTGCACTATGGTATGCCCAGACATTTACGAGTAGCTCAAGCACCCGGGAGTAGCAATGCTTGTCCTGCTGGATTATATACCAGTATTACGAGTCCTATAAAATAAACTTAATTGAAAACTAACTAAAAACGGCAGCCCAATACACAAGGCACCAACCATTGCAGGATCTAGGAAAGGTCAAATGTACACAATCTTATCCCCGCATGAAGAGTGACTATTTTTGTGTTTTGAATCCATGGAGCTCAAGTCATAAAAGAATTTTTCCAGGGAAGTTTCATTCTACCAGAGGATATCCAAATTTTGGATTCGGTATTGATAAAAGATCTTATGGTATGCTATTCAATTGCCGAGCCAAAAAAAATAAAAGTATATTATTCAACTCTTAACGATGAACTGATTTGATAGCTTACATATTGTAATTCATGATATTGAACTCTAAACACAAAATAAAATTATTAACCAAGGTTTATATATCAAGAAGTCAGAAACACCAGAGTTATTTTTAGGAGATAGATCTTCATTAGAACCCACAGTTGAAACAATCTTTATCTAAGAACAATAGTCTTTGTGGTACATCTATATTGATCAGTTTTTGGTTCTGAATTGAGAAACCAAAAAAGGATGGTAAGATCAAAAGAACTATTTTGCAAGAACACACAAGCACACATTAATGTGCACTATCTGGGCGTTGTTTTTACAAATGAAGTTGTTTAAGTAGGAGAAAGTCACCTTGAAAAAACTCAGATGACAATAACCACTTTGATGGTGCGTTTCATAGAATTGTGCATCCAATGCATCTACAAACATTCTGCAAATGACATCACACAGTTACAAAAAACTTCGCAAGTCAATGAACTCTTAAAACCATATTGAGAGAAAAAATCATGACAAGCGGAAAGAGAACCAATTATGCAAATTTTGATACCTGGAAAACATTACAAACTCCAGGAAGGACTTGGTTGGTAAAACCCAGCTGTGCATGACAGACCACGTGTCCCCATCTATAGGCATGGGAGGCAGAGACGTCCAATCATTCTTTATGCCATACATCTTCTTTAGAGCCTCGGAAAAGGCAAATCTGCAGCCAATAATGACGTGGAGAGAAGTAAACCTTTTTTTTCTTTTCGTAAGTAAATTATTTTAAGTAAAATGCTATATATATAAACAAATTTCTCATATAATTTTCTTATCATTAGGCACGAATGTATAGATCCCACATATATTTATTAATGTGGGTCCCACTAGCTTTGTGTCTAGAGGTAAGAATATATGGTGCGAAATCCGTTTATGTACAGCATTATCCTTTACTAAAGAGGCACCAAGAGGGCACAACCCGTGCATGAAATGGAGAGAAGTAAACTCGGTTGAACATCCAAATATAAAATGAAATCCTCGAGATAAAATGTGAAGTTACAGATCATAATTAAACAAAATCAAATCAGGTAATAGACATGACCACTCTTACTTGCAATTTCCAGCATTTATAGCATCACAGAATGACCAAAAATCCAGTTGTAATGGGTTTCTTGGATCCATATCCATACGAACCCAAAAGTAGAGAGTATCACCATGTGTTCGCGCTTCGATGGCGTCTAATAATGCAGTTTCAGCATTCTTAGAGAAAGATTCCTGTTCAAACCCCCACATTAGATATGAAGCAATACTGAGTTTAAAGCCCAAATACAAATTATCTCTGCATTTACTTTCTGCATCATCTATTGACTAAGTTGTACAGAGTTAAAGGTTACTGATAAGAAAGTTTCATCTCAACAAGAACACAAATCAACTATCGTGCAATGCTATCACAGCAAAGGAGCAGCACTTTTTAGAGAATTCAGAACTCCCCCAGTGTTTGATATTTTTAGAATTGCCATATTAAAGACAGAATCAGACAATATATTTTCTAAATTTCCTTGATAATTTTATGATGAAATTGTTCAGATCAAATTTCAACATATTTTGTCACAGTTGAAAACATCATAATTTCCATTTCTTCTTAAATTGCAAATAGCATGAGCGAACAACTGCCAACTTTTTCGTCAAAACTTTGTTCCAAGATGGCTTGTGGATCCAATGTAATTCATATTTAACCAAATATTAGAATATTCTACAGTACAAATTTTAAATCCTGGTTGCAACTCACATGTTAGGGGGTTGGGCAATCAGAAAAGTTTCATCTACAGACTACAGGTCACAAATGCTGCTGATGTCAACCAAAGGTCATATTGACATCAGCAACTCACAACGAAAGAAGAGTAAATGATACTCACAATCCATTTGTTGTCTTTTAGCCTTTCACAAAGTGAGTAGATCGATTCTAAAAGTGGAGTGTTAAAATCATTACTCTAAAAGAAATGCAAGTTTAACAGCAGATGCCAAGAGAGATTACATGCCTTCCTTGCTGTTGCTCTCCACGACTGGAACCCTATCCAAGCATTTTTGTGGATGCGGTCAACACGGTTAGCTATAGCAAAAAAGGCTCCATATTCACCAAGGGCATCTCGGTAGTAAGGGCTATTAAGAAGTGGAAGACGAGAAGTTGCATCAATATCATCTGCTCTGGGCCTTCGACCTTTAGTGGACTACAATCAACCAGTCCATGTGTTCATGTCAGATAGAAAAAGAGGGTTGCGTAACTTTAAGGAAACAAGTACTATAATGACTACTAACAGTAAATCTAAGCCATGCTCAAATACATAGGTCATTTTTAAGTAGCATATGAATTTCAAATGTGTATTTGGAGCTTTAAAATCCCTCCTAAAATCCTATTTAAGGATTTTGAGAATTCTTATCAGTAAAGCATGCATAAAAAAAGGCTGACAACGAGCCTGATGACTTACCAGCCCAAGTCCGCGATAGAGTGAAGTACTGTGCAAAAAAGGCCAGGTTCCTTCCCCGAAGTATGGTTCATAGATGCATAATGGTTGACCTGTTCTTTCAAGCTCTCCATTATCCCTTTCATGCAAATCATTTTTAGACCGATCAGCCCTTTTGACACCTCGATATACTTCCTCCCATGTTCCACGAGGTTGATCAGTTCTGTCCTTTAACTGGATCAAATTCCAAAAGGACACATGAATTTCCAGAGGGACAAATATAATAATACCTATGAAGCACCAAAACTTCAAAATGGGTGTCGTGTGTTGAACACGTGGGACACAAACACTCCAGCGGCATGCATGTCCACATGTCGGACATACCACATGGCGTGTTAATTTTTTAAATTACTATTTTTCTGCAAGACACTTTGGGGATACTTCACGGACAAGTGTGTCATGTGTTTGAACACGTGTGTCCAGACACCTTTGTAAGTTTCTTTTTTATAATTTTAGAAAGATAATTTAGGGTCAAAGTAAAATATAAACAAAGAGGAACGAAAATTAAAGGAATAAAAATACACCCACATATACATTGATGCATCTTAGTTATATCTGTGCCCTAAATTTAAATTCATATAAATAGCAAATAAAAATATATTTTAAAAAATTCCGCATCCCCACTCTTTTTATCCTAATTTTTTCAGTTTCACCGTATCCCTGTCCGTGTCCGTGATTCTTAGTATAATAGAGATGGTCATCAGAAAATTTTCAACCCAAAATTGTGAAAAATAGATAGCATCCTGCATCGCTTACCAGTTCGTCCTCTCGTCGCTTCCTTGTATTAGCCATCTCAATGTATTTTTGCTCCTCCCATATACTATATAAGAATGTTTCATCTGTAGCAATTGCAGGACCAGAACGGGGTGTTTGAGTATGGTTCCACTCCTTTTCGATTTTCTCTAAAAATTTGTGGCTTCTCAACATTCTATTTGGATATGTTGAATCTGATATTGACTCAAATAGTTTCCATTGCCATTCCTCTTTTAATTTGCTAGGGATTTCATTGACAGCCTTGGAAGGTGCAACTTCGGATGGGAGCTTGAGAATGTTTTCTAGTAGAGAAGCATACCCTTCAACAGTTTCCAAAACCATAAGGTTTTTTGCAGTGTGTATGCCAATTTCTGCAATTTTGCGAGCTGGAGGTGATAACTGCCCGTCTGAGACCACTTCCAAGATTATCTTTGTGAGAACGCTTATATTCTCCTTTGGAAAAAGATAACCATTCACCCTGTCATCAACCTAATTGTTATTGTCAAGGCGGTCAGTAGCTTGCACAGAACACGTAAATGTATGATTTTCTAAAAAGTAACTAAATATAGAACAAACAAGTTGAAATATGAATTACATAGTTCCTCCGTTCCATTTTGTTTATCCATTTTGGGAATTCCAACTTTTTAAGGGGGCATGCAATAAATGCCTTGGAATCAAATTCGAAGACATTATTTTCTAACAATTGCCCCTTTATTTCTCTATTTCAAATATACTAATAACTATTTACAAGGGGTAGTTTTGAAAACTTACACACTTTATGCTTTGAAGTTTGAAAGTGGATAATCTTCTTGTGGCATCCCAAAATGGAAAGATAGACAAACAAAACGGGACAGAGGGTGTAATAAATTATAACCATGAATCCCAAAATCTCAGTGATCATCAATGGTCTGTCCATATAATAGTTCATCCATACAGGTGATGAATATTAGAAATTAGTGACCCATATGTTAATCAGCTACAATAAATGAGATTCATTGAGAAAAGTATCTAACCACAAAATGATGGGATAGTTTGATTTAAAAGGTTTCAGTCCAAGTAAAATCATAACTAATGATAATTCTAAATTTTTAATGTAATCATATCCAACACCCAAACATTAGCAAAAACTTTTCTGAGATGTGAAATTTCACACTACAAAATTCTCTTAGCTCTAATAAAAATCTATAATAACCAAAAAACATGTATATGCAAAGAGAAAGCATCATTAGAAACATACATATTTTTTAATCATGGAAAGATCCGGAGCAATGACTGGCTTCCCAAAGCGCATGGCTTTTATGAAGATGTCCGGAAAAGATTGCTCTTCAAGGAAGGATCCATATATCACGATATCAGCCAAGCTTAGAACACTGTCTGCGTCTTCATCAATGGCATGCCTCACAATGTTCCTTGGGTATCTTAAGTTAAGAGCAATGGCCTATGCGCAAAAAAAAAAAAAAAAAAAAAAGAAGAAGAAGAAGAAGATAAAACATTAACAATTAAAGCAAAAACCTAGATGAAACTAAAACAAGCAAGTACCTCAAGACATTAGACAAAGCTTTACCTCAACAGCCACGCTGTAATTTCCAGCCAAATCCCCACTTAAAACGATGATTTTAAGATGAGAATTCGAATTGTTATCAGATGGAAAGTCTGCAAGTAGTGGTAATAAAGCCTTTAAAACAAAGGCATGCTCCAGCCACAAACCTCTGTACGAAAATCGACTTCCCACAATCACGATAACAAAGTCTTCAGGCCCGTAATCCATCTTGACACGTAGATTATCTTTGTTAGGAACTATAAAGTTGTCTGCTTCCCATGCTTCAGCTGGAGAACCCGGAATAACAAAGTAGTTTCCGGAATCCCATGCAGAGTAAAACATCTGACAAAAGCATAGATGGAGAGTCAATAAACGGACTACTTCAAAACCAACTTATGTATCTATAAAGCATGACTGCCAAATAATAGTATAATGATCATGATTAGGACCTCAAACAAGCTCAGGCAATATATTAAAAATATATTTCCTTCATTAAAAAAAAGGACATGATCAAAGTTGCAAGCTGCGAGTTGCGAGCTGCTATTTCTCTTCCTATCAATTGGTCGGTCCACTAGATGATATTGCTCAACGATTCGATTCATTAGTCTGGTACTAGTGTCCTTCGGAATGAAGAATTCAAGTCAAGGGAGACAATGGGAGTGAGTTTGCTCCAGTTAATAAGCCAATAATCTACAATTTGCATACAACTCTTTACGTCCTCTTGGATTGCTCACCATGCTCTTGATTGGAACAACATATGATTAAAAAATTCTTACCATCCAATCATGTCAATTTTTGAAGGAAATTCAGCTACACAATTTTTTTCCCTAATTGATACTTGCATAAATTGACGGTTATGTTCTTATTGAGAGGTCGTGACCTAGGGTAGCACAATAGCAAATGTTATCCACCTCCAGCATAGTGGAGCGGGTTCAATTCACAAGAATTAGCCTCTCCACTAAAAAGTGGGTTCAGGCAGCCTGCCTACTATATCTCCCAAACCCTAAGGGGCTATTTGGCATCCCCTATATTAGCACACTTTTTTATCTTTTATCTTTTTTGAATCACATCACTTCTCTACTTTTTTGCACATCTTTTTCAAAAAAGTATATTTATTTAGATCATCCCAAACACCCACCCTCTAAGTAAGAGTGGTAACAACCTTTCCTTATTGCCCTTCCTATGGACACCATGTCTTCACATTACACTAACAAAATGAACAAGAGACTTGTCTAATGAATATTACCGGCAGCACATAGTTTGGGAAGACCACAACAGTAGCACGGTTGAAGGATTTCTTCCAATCATTTACAAGCTCAACCTGGCCACTCGACATGTATTGTCTCAAACGAGTAGCAAGTGTTCTTTCATGGATGCTCCATATAAGGGGTACAGACTTGAAAGGTTCCTGGAGAAGACTGTGACAAGTAAAATCATTCACTTTAATTGAAAATTGAAAATAGATGCTGCCGAACTATTATCAGGTTGTGAATTAAAGAAACTTATCCAAAGAAAGTGGTGAAACACTCATGAAGTAACTAGTAACCATGTGTTTTGCCGCTGCATCATATTTAGATAAATGTATAACCAAATAAAGAAATGAAATAACACAAACAAACACAAGCATTCATATAAACCATCATCATTGAGAGACTATATGCACAAAGCCAAAGGATATCTCAGAGTTTGGATTATGTACATAGAACTACAAAGGTTATTGCAAAGGTTCACTAGATATCTTATCAAGTGACACTGGAACTACCAAGACCTCACTCTGACCAGCAGAATGTCCCTACTGTTTGGTTTGATTTTCAGATTTTCTGAATTTTTTTTCAAAAACTAGAAACTAGTTTGATAAAAAAAATAAATAACAAAAAGATTTTTTGAATTTTCAAAAATTATTTCCGCCCCCACAAAGATAAACCATAATGAAAATGATGGGTATTTTTTCATTTTTTCACCAAATTAGTTGCGGAAATTTTGGATGTTACAGAGAAATAAATGAGAAGGCATAGACATGTACAGTTTTAACCATAAGAAATAATAACGAGAAGGAGCAAAAGAGATTCTTGAGGTTTACTCTACTCAAAAACACAACATAATGACAGCCCCAACTGTTAGAGGTTAACTACAAAATATTGATCCACCCACTAATTTATTTGGGGCAATATAAGTAGTAATCCAACATTTCATTGCTTAATAACTTTGAACCTAATTTCTTTTCGGCCTAGCCCTAGCCCTTCCAACCTTGTCACATAACCCATCCATCTTGGATCATATAGAAGCAAATTCTCAACCAATGTTTGCAAGTATTAGACAATGTGAAGTATATCCTCATCTCAGGCAGTTTAGCATAGTATCAGGTGTATTAACACTGGCAGAAAAATTAGTCAAGTTAATTTTCATCACGTTAATCATAATTCAAATCCTTGTACAGGAAGCATATGCAACAATGTATACAGAGAAACCAACCAATCACAAGAAAAATCTAGGACAAATTTGAGTGATTTCTGAAATCTTATAAAGGATTCATCAACAATTAAATTAGATAAGATAAAAATGAAATTCAGGGATGTTTAGTTAGATGGACTGTGATATATAACTCTGCAGTTAAAAAAATGGCAAGAAAGAAAAACTTGAGCCCAACATACAAAGTAGGAAGTTTGTGGAATCATTAAGCAACATGATAGAACTTACCGAGAAAAGACTTCCCTGGATTCAATTGAATTCACAATTATGCCATCATAGCTGCAAGAAGCATATACCATAATGAGAAATGAAGAAGATTTATTGATTCTCATTTATTTAGAATTAACAAGCAACCTATAATAGATGTTTTATCAACTCTGTTCTTAAACTGTAGGCAGTGTATAGACATCCAAAAAAGCTTTGGATTTTTTGTTTTTTCATTTGCGAAAATTATATAAGATAACAATTTTCATCACCAAAAGGTACTAAGAACAAAACATCAAAACTATAGAAATCTTTACAAGAAGTTGCATTTCTGTTTAGGCCACCACATAACTTTGCTGATAGTTTCTAATAACAATAACAATGAGGTAGATCAAAAACTACAAATGATCTAAGGACAACAAAGGCATTGTATACAAACAGAAAAACAACAGAATCGACTGTTTTTGTGCTAGATGGGAGCATGATTTTAAAAATTAGCCATTACATATAACATCAGCCGTTATGTAACGGGATTTTGGATTTTGGATTTTTTTTTTTCTCACTAATATATCGAACGATACTGTCCAATATTGATTAATATATGACCGCATCGCCAATATTGATACATATTGATACATATTCTCATAGTTTTTTAAAAAGCTCTAGGCGCATCGAGGTGCCAAGGTCACCTGGAGCTAAGCGCCGAGGCGCGAGGCCAAACATGCGCCTCACGAAAGCGAGGCGCAAGTTATAGAAGTTAAGCAAAATATTAATATAGTACAATTTTCAACATAAGCAAATATTTAATATATATATTATTAATTTTTTTAATAAGAAAAGAAGAGAAGAGAAGAAGAAAAAAAAATAATTAATTTTTTTAATATATATATTATTTTATTTATTTATTATATTTTTTAAATAATGTGTTTCAATTAATTTTTTTATTTTATTTTATATACATGTGTTTATTTTTTTTATTACTATGTATAAATATATATTATATTTTATATATTATCTATAAGTATATTATATATTATATAATAGGTATTGTAGGTATTATATAATATTATATATATATGAATTAATTATATTTTATATAATAGGTATTATATAATATATATTATATATATACATATATGAATCAAGAAGATAAAAGAGGAAGAGACAAAAGCGAGAAGATAAGGAGGGGGAGATAGAAGCGAGCGAGAGAGAGAGAGAGAGAGAGAGAGATCGCAATTGCGATTGCGATCGCGAGAAAGAAGGCAACAGAGAGAGAGATCGCGATTGCGATCGTGAGAGAGACGGTGAGAGAGAGAGAGAGAGCAATCGTGAGCGAGAGGGCAATTGTGGCCCTTCGTCGTTGTCTTCTTCTTCTCCACTAGGTTTTTTTTTTGTTTTTCCCTGCACTTTTGACCCACATTTTGATCATTTGATATTGTAAATGAAAATTTATTCCATGTGGGTATTCACACCAAAACCAGATGGGCTGTAGCAGTAGAAGAAATGCAAAGCGCCAAAAGCGCACGCCTCGAGCCTCAGGAAAAAGCGCACGCCTCATCGCCTTAGTTGCGCCTCCTCTATGTCGCCTCGCCTCGCTATGCGTGAGGCGCAGAGCTGCGCCTCGCCTCACCTTGAGCTTAGGCGCGCTTTTCAAAACACTGTGGTTGGGTTGGGAGGATCCTATATTAGTTCTCATCTTTTAAGAGTCCAGGATAAACTTTAGTCTGCAGTTGATTATAGATGAGAGAATAAACATGACAAGCATACAATAGCCAATCTACAACGACATCCATCTTCTCACTGGTTTTGATGATAGTGACGGGAATTCCCATATCTTTCCAAACCGAAAGCACAGGACCATCTTCAAGCGAATAAACCTGCAATTAGAATACAACACAAGATGCTAAGACAACTATATTTATCTTATAGAATATTACAATCAAGGAAATTAAAACAAACAACATAAATATTTGACATACACAAAACAACTCAACCACTTTAGGAGATAGGAATGCCCTTTAGAGACAACCAAGGCAAGTATTTCAAGATCTCAATGCTTTATGTGGTTCACCGGAATGAAGTGGAATGGAGTGATTATTCCATCATAATGTCTATTCTCACATTTGGTTCACTAAAAAAAAAAATGGAAAATGCATTACAAATGGAATCATCATTCACCAGTGTAAGAGAATAGTCATTCAAAAGGAATAACTAAGTAATGACCATTCTATTTCATTCCAGTGAACCAAACATTACATAGTAGTTACAAGAGAGGGAGTAATTCTTACAATAAGCATGATGATATTAATGGTACGATGCCTGAAACAAAAATGTCCTGCTAGCAGTATGCCACCTAATTTGATTTTCCTAATCCCCAAAACAAATAGGATAGATGCACATGTTTTGTGAGTGTGTGTGTGCGCGCGCGCGAGTGTGTGTGCGTGCATGTGCGGGGGAGAGAGAGAGAGAGAGAGAGAGAGTGGAGGATAGGGAGAATCCTTTAAGCCAATACATCAAATTTCCATAAAAGATTGACCCTCTAGACCCTATGTATAATAGCTCCTACTTGATAGCCCTTCAAATGTCCTTCCACAGCATCACAGACCAATTCGTGTCCAATTCTGTTCACAGCCTCGGGATTCAGGAGTCCCAATCAGTAGGCTAAATGATACTAAACCTTTCACATCAAATGCAAATCATTTCATATCCATCATCTTGTGCCCTTGTCCATGACTGACCTAGGAACCCCTAATACTCTTCCTCAGGTCCTCCAGGTTGTGAATATTTACAGCTCACAGTAAAGTTCAAATATAAATACGAAGAACAATAATAAAGCAGCTGAAGAGGAAAAGCATACGTGGCAAGTTGGCAACAAAGCTATCAGAGCCCCTTGTTGGTTATATAGGGCGTTAAAATGGTTTAGAAGTTGCACGTCCAATTTGCATTTCTGATGTGACTATTAGTCTATCAAAGAGTTCACACCCAAATGCATGGCCCATCCTTGATTGTTAAAGACTTCACACTCAAATGCATGGCCCATCCTTGATCGTTAAGACTTCACACCCAATGGCATGGACCATCCTTGATCGTTAAAGACTTCACACCCAAATGCATGGACCATCCTTGATCGTCCTTGCCTTACAAAGAGGCTAGAATGGGAACTCAATAACCTCAAGTTCAAGATATTTACTTTTATTCCCCTGAACGGTAGATGAAAGTTAATGTGTAGTATCTAGAGTAGAGTGAGGCAACAGCAATGAGAAGATCGGATAAACTAGTTAAGGAACAGCTTGGCTAAATCAAGTCCAACTGAGACACAACCTAAAGATACAAGAATTCACCAATTCGTCTTAAATGGCCAGTGGGCCTGAACTAAAACAAGTATTCACTGAGGAATCTGCAGATTCTACACCAGCATCTATGACTAAAGATTGAACTAAAACAAGTATTACAGGCTCTCTACTTTCCTCCAATTGACTAGTTTCAAGCTTCCCCTAACAACACATCTAAGATACCCGAAAAGCTAATATGTTTGCATTGAAAAGCCCCTCTACAACCAAGTTGGTTCGCAAGTTTGTATAAAGAAACTCATTTCCTTTGGAAACATGTCATACTCTCTCTTTTTTCTTTTTTTGGATGCCCGAGAACTCTACCTAAGCTCCTTTGGACCCACCCTAGGCATGTAAACTCGAGGTTCAAAGGCTACCCCTAAGTCTGTGGACCAGGAAAAAGGAGGGGAGTCAAACCTCAGACCTGCTGGATAGAAACATGTCATACTCAGTGCACACAGCTCCGGCAGCCTTCCCCCACTTTTTGTGGAAATACTTGTGACTCGAAATCACGTGGGCAGATAACACTTGTCATCACTCCACCAGGTCACATCCTTTTTCCTCAGGAAACACATATGGAATAAATTATGAAATGTGATACCCTAGAAGCTTCATTAGCCCCCATTTCAATAATTTGCTAGTTGTATGTTCAGTAGTCTCTCATAAAATGCATGTTCAACCAAGTATAAAAGCTTTAAGAAAACAGCAAAATTATATCAATGAAATAAGTCTCATCCAAGTCTGTCCCAAAAATTCAAATCAATCCACTTTGCCGACATGAACACCTAATTTAAAACTTAAAAACATATATATAAATAAATAAATCAAAATCACTGATCAATGAAATTACCTCAATTTTATACCCAATCTCCCGCAAGGCAGCAGCAACAGTGACCATCAGTATCTGTTGTGGATCAACTAACAGATCTGAAAAAACCTAGAAGTAGAAATCAAAATAGTACAAATTAAAACCCCAATAGCCACACTACCCAATAAACAATTCACTCAGAATATATATATATATATAAACTAAACCATGCAAAAACACATCCACCATGAATCTTCACAAAATAATGATTGACCAAATCAACACATCACTGTCAAACTAATTCCAATCAGAACTCAAAACAACAAGAAGAACATAAAATTGGTACCAAATATCACTACTCACCAAAGCAAGCTAGGGTTTTCTGAACCCAAACCTCAGTCTTCTCCTCGAAACAGAAGACATATTGACCTCATTAGACTCTTTCAAATTTAGCCAAAATCTAGCCCACCAATCTCCTTCCATAAAATCAAATCCCCAGAAGTAGAAATCAAAATAGTACAAATTAAAACCCCAATAGCCACACTACCCAATAAACAATTCACCCAGAATATATGTATATATATATATATAAACTAAACCATACAAAAACAAATCCACCATAAATCTTAACAAAATAATTATTAACCAAATCAACACATCACTACCAACACAATTCCAGTCAGAACTGAAACAACAATAAGAACATAAAATATAAATTGGTACCAAATATCACTACTCACCAAAGCAAGCTAGGGTTTTCTGAACCCAAATCTCACTCCTCTTCTTGAAACAGAAGACATATTGACCATATTAGACTCTTTTTTAAATTTAGCCAAATGCTTTGATGGCTCAAACTTAAAATCTTCCCCAAAATCTAACCCATCAATCTCCTTCCATAACATCAAATCCCCGTAAGTAGAAATCAGAATAGTACAAATTAAAACCCCAATAGCCACACTACCCAATAAACAATTAAATCATAATATATGTACATATATAAACTAAAACCATGCAAAAACACATCCACCGTAAATCTTCACAAAATAATGATTGACCAAATCAACACATCACTATCAAACTAATTCCAATCAGAACTTTTTTTTTTTTTTTTTTTCCTTCACAATAATCATGGGGGGGGGGGGGTTTACATCAGAAATAAGTTCCAATCAGAACAGAAAACAACAAGAACAACATAAAATTGGTACCAAATATCACTACTCACCAAAGCAAGCTGAGGTTTTCTATACCCAAATCTCACTCTTCTTGAAACAGAAGAGATATTGACCTCATTGGACTCTTTTTGAAATTTAGCCAAAAGCTTTGATGGTTCAAACTTAATATCTTTCCCAAAATCTAACCCACCAATCTCCTTCCATAACATCAAATCCCAAGAAGCTAATTCCTCTTCTCCTCTCCATGAATTCTTCGATTTTTCAATCACTGAACCAGGCAAGAACATCTGAAAGAGAACAAGAAAGAAGAAGAACACAGCAACTGTGCAAATCCATTGAAGATAATCAATCTTCTTGAACAAGAACAGCCTAACGAATCTCGATCTGGGCCTTTGATCAAATGGGTTTCATTAATTCCTGCTACTGCTTGCTCGTTGAATGAAGTAGATTTTGATCTCTCTCTCTCTCTCTTGAATGAAAGACCACTCTCAATAGAACCCATCGTGATGATGAAGAGCGAAGCAGAGTTTGATCTCTCTTCAACGAAAAGCCACTTTCAAGAGAACCCATTTAGAGTCCCATCAACAAAAACTCATAGAAATTGACAAAACATGTACGTATATATATGTGTGTGGAGAGCAATATAGAAATACAGAGATGGAAATCAAGATTGAGCGGGGAGAAAGACAAAAGAATGGCTTTTTGCTGTTTTGAGAAATGGGTTTTAGTTACAGAGTGTTACAGAGTCGCTTTTGTTTTGTGCCATTAAAGAATTCAAGAATACAGCTGTGTAGGAAGAGAGAGAAAAGAACGAAAGGAAGGAGGTGACATATATATATAGAGAGAGAGAGAGAGAGAGAGCGCGCGCTCAATCTCCGCTTTGTCGACGTGGATTTGGTCGGCATTGATTGACAAACGATGGCCTTAATCGATATTTACATAAAGGAATATATATCTAATTATTGAATTTTCGTTTTTTTTTAATATCATCTAATTTATTAAAATTGCATTGATTTATATTAACAAAAATGCTTTAGAGCTCTAATAAAAGAGTTCTAATAGCTCTAATGGGAAGGTGGGGTCCACCCTGATGTGATGTTTGTGTCTTGTTTTATTTTTTATTTTATTTTTTTTTTTGCTTTGACACATCACTAGAGCTCAAATTAGAGCTCTAGATTTAGAGCTCTCTAGCATTTCCCTTATACTTTAAAATTTATAACCTGTCTTCGAAATCGCTCTGTTCTGCTATAATTAATACATATAATTTTTTTTAATCTCCAATGAAATATCAAAGTAAAAATGAGTATAAGAGAGATTTAAGATATGAAATTTGTTATAAATTGGTAGTTATATATATGAAAAACATTATGTAAAATTAGTTTGTGTTGTATATATGAAAAATATTATACAAATTAGTGTTATATTATATAAATACTTGATAATTGTTTAAGAATATTTTTCAATCTGCTAATGCGCTTCAGACTGTTCAAACTGTAATTTATCAAACCATCAATCCATCAAACTGCTATTTAATTTATAATTTGACTTTCAAACCGCTCAAACCGCACCGCTTACAACCCTATCTATATCTGTATGCTTGTTTGTTTAATTTCACTTTATCTTTCATATTTGTTAAGAGAAATTTAGTGCTTAGTTGGCATGTGTTAATATAACACATGTTATTCTATTTGGGTCACATTATTTTTTTATCACATGATTTTAAACTCAATTCATATTTTACATTTTTTCATAAAAAGTAAAAAAATATACTAATCTAACACTTCCCGAACAATCTCTTATAACCTTCCTCTTCAATTTTTAATAATAAGAAAGATCTATAATAAAAAAAAAATTAATTTAAAGTCCTTCACTCGCACCCATATATCATACCCAATCACCGTCCAGGTTGTCCATGGCGGCGGAGGGATTGGTTTTTGGCTAATATTTTTTAGGGTAAACTACCAATTGGTCCTAATAGTTGGACTTAATTCTCATCAAGTCCTATTGAAAATAAATCTTGATAAAATAGTCGCTAAAAAAAATTTGTGACAATTTTTTATATATGTCATTAAAAATTAACAATTAATGACTTTTTTTGTCATGATTTTGATAAATTATCGTTAAAAATTATAATTAGTGACTTTTTTTATAACAATTTTTTCTCATAGGACCTATTAGACAATAAATTTACTTATTAGGACCTACACAAGGTTTTAAAAAGCGGCCGCAACCATTATGTAACGCTGTTACGTAATGATTTTGGTGGTTACTGCCACTCGTTACGACCGCTTTTGCAGTGTGATTGAGATTCACAGGTGTGTCAGCTATAGCGGCTGCCGTAGCAGTCGTAACAGTGCCGTAACGGTGATGTAGGCCGAAAGGTACCACATTGAGGCCACTTAGGTTACATTTTTTGTCTTTTAATTTTATTTATTTGGTGGAGATGATGCGTTTCGTGCACTTGTACGGATTTGACAGGAAATATGAAAATTCAATCAAAAGGGGCGCGAAATCAAAATCTCCGAGCGAGACGTGAAAAATTCGAGTCCATCAGACCACCGCACGTGCGACCAAGTTCCACCGTACGCGCGGTCCACCACCGCACGAGCGGCCCACACCACCGCACGAGCGGGCCACCTAGGGACGTGTGCACGGACTTTTTGGTCTATTTTGCTCCGAATAAAAGACAGAAAATCAAACACAGTTAGGGTTCGAAAATTGAATACAGAAAGGAGGGAAGCTAGGGTTCCAAAGGGGGAGACACTACCAAAGCTTGGAAAACACTTCCATGGGGGCTTCTTCTTCATCTTCTTCCTCTTTCCACTCCTCCATGAGTAGCTAGTCGTATTTTCTAGGGTTTTGATGAAACCCTAGCTATGTAATGGAATTTTTCACGAGCTTTCATTATAACTTGGTTTGAATGAATGTATGGATATTTTAGAAGTTTATAAATAATTGTTTCGTTCTTCTCTTCAAGCATTTTACTCTCTGTGATTGTTTAATGTTTTCCATACATTAGTATTCTTTGTGTTTGTATTCAAAGTACGAGACGAGTCATGCTATGAGAGACGAGTCGTTTTGCTAACATAGTTTAGAGCAAACGACTCGTACTACTCGGGATGATTCGTGCCTATACATTGAATGCAACAACGGAGATTCGACGGACAGAGAGGGTTATAGGACGCCGGCGGTGAGATGGTTTTGGGGAGGAAGAAGAAGGAAGAAGAAGATGGTGAAGATAGTGGGTTTGTGAGGTTTAGAGAGAGAGAGAGAGACAAATCTGAGAATGAGAGTGATTAGGATAGGAAGAGAGTGGGTTTGTGGGGTTTAGATAAGGTTTTTTTTTTCGAAAATAGGAAATAAAAAAATAATAAAATACGATTTATTAAATAAATAAATAATAAACAATTATTTTATTTAATTTTTTTTTAATATGTAAAAAAAAATTGTATATTTATTTATTTATTTTTAAAATTTATTTATGTATTTATTATTTTAAAAAAATGAATTGTATGTATTTATGTATTTATTTATTTATGCATTATAAATTATAAACAAAACAAAACTTTTTTTTTTTTTTTTAGAGGTTGTAGAGGTGGGTCGCTCGTGTGCGGCTAGATTGGGCCGCTCCAGCGGCCGTAGACAGTAGCCAAATTGGTATGGGCCGCTCGTGCGGCGGAGCCCACCGCTCGAGGCTCTAGGCCTATTTTTTTTTTTTTTTTTTTTGGTTGGTTGACCTGGGCGCTCGAGCGGTGATTTTGGGCCGCTCCTGCGGCGCATTTGGGCCTGCTCCAGCGGCGCTAAGCAGTTGCATCTCGAGCTGGGCCGCTCGTGCGGGCGAAGCCCACCGCTCGAGCGGCCTGGGCTCCTCTTTTTTTTTTTTTTTTAAAAAAAAAAAACAAGTATAACACCCCATTATTATTATTATTAATTATTATTATATTATTATTAATTTTTTTTTAAAGAACAAGTATACACCCCCTATTGTTATATTATTAATATTTTTTTTTTAAAGAAACAAGTATAACACCCCCCTTTTTTTTGTTTATTTAAACAAAGAAATTAAACTAAGAAGCATGCTTTTTGACAAAAATCACAAGTTCTAATCATCTAAAATTGCTCTTAAATATGACTGGACCACAAAGAGCTAAGCATAAGCGAAATTAGTTAATAAGAGATGTGCCACAAACTAAAAATAAAAACACACATCAATGCCTTACGCAGGCTACAGAGGGTCCCCTTCACCCACACACATGCATGACTGTTTTCTGCTACATTGGAACAGCATAGTTTACAAAACAAGAAGCACTCGCAAGCGTACATGCTTCAAGAAAATGGAAAACTAACTCTCAACACCTAACAACAGGCACCAAAGTTATGGTATAAAGTTGCCACTTCAGAATCCCCCAGGTAATAAAACCCAGCGTTAGTTTACAACCTCTCGGGCTAGTAAAACCCAAAGTTTACTTAACCATTTCTACCTCAATTAACATCCGAAATAAATATAGCACATAAGAGATAACGGACTGCCACTAAAGGTATAATCTTCAGGCGAAAACCACGTACTACTTTTCTCCCTAACTGTGTTTGTAACTTCCCTATTACTCCAACAGCGGTGACAGACTTAGTTGACATTCGGTATCCAGAATCGAGGTGCTAAAGCTACGTCAACCTTGGGGCTCCATAACAGAGTTCAAAGTCGAGGTTAGTTATTTCGAAGCAATCTCCACACCGCTGGGTATTTAAACCAGACTCTAGTCTCGGAAATCAACCTTTGTGTTCTATAGTTTGCCATTACGAATATCTAGTTAGTCCACCGTCTCAGTTGGTCTCCTAGAGATCACGCACTACAACCACGGTTAGGTGGGCGTAATATACAGAGCCGTCAGATGCCAGCGTTGCGCCACGGTAAACACAGAATTGTCACTTAGAGGATCTTTAAAGTTCTCCTAGATGGCAAATTAATACGATAACAAGAACAAAGAAAAACAAAAATAGCAAAGAAGGAAAGAAAAGAGAACAAGAACATGAAATCTATTAATTGGTAGTAAATAGTAAATGGGTTCGCATCAAAGCAATGGACTCAATCATATCTCATTCCCAATCCCTCTAATATGGTTTCATGCTTTGGCCATTCATTTTGAAACGTTGGCCGTCATTTGGATGCTCGCGACCTCCAGATGCGCGGCATCGAATGAAAGTCTCAACAACTCAAAAGGGGCCAATCCACTCTTGATCTTAACTTACGCCGAAAAGAGTCTACAATTTTGCAATTAAAAAGCCACCACTTTTTGGTCGGCGTTCAAGGACTTTCCTATTGATGTGCTCTGTCATGGAATTCTCTTAGTCGAGCTTTAAATACCTCTCGAACTCCATATGCATATTCCGGAGTTTCCTGCCAACGTCATTAAGTTGGCAAATTTTCGGTTTGAGCCCCGCCTGCGGCCATATCGAAGTTAAACTTGCTTATATGAGCCCAAATGCTCGGTGCTCAGTCAACCGAGATGATGGGCAAGCTTTTGCCGAACACCGTCTATATGCGTACGATCCAATATGGGTGATCTTTTAACAGTACGTACGCATAACTGCATTCATTAACACCGTCTTATGAAGCGAAAGATCTTTCCTATCCGGGTCTCACAGTTTTCCTCAATTAATGTGTTTTACCTCCCTATTTGAGACTTTCCATTTGGCCACTAGTTTGAGGGTGGTATGGGACGCTGCCAACTTTATGAATGATAGAGTATTTCTTAACATCGACTCAAGAACTGGTTACAAAGAATGATGTACCCTGATCCACTTATTAAATATGCTCTAGGAAACCCAAAACCGTAAAGAT